AGCAAGATGGCGGCGGCCATGCTAGGCCGCGGGGCCGTGTGTGCGCAGCGGACGGCGGCGGTGGCGCTGCCCCGGCGGCAGGCGCGGCGGCGGCGCTAGCCCGGCCCTCGGCCCCATTTCGCGGTCGTCACCACCGCCTCTCCCCGCCTTGCACGGTATGGACCTGCCCGTGGGCCCCGGCGCGGCGGGGCCCAGCAACGTCCCGGCCTTCCTGACCAAGCTGTGGACCCTCGTGAGCGACCCAGACACCGACGCGCTTATCTGCTGGAGCCCGGTGAGGGGGTGGGGCGAGTCCCCGTGAGGGGTGGGATGTGGGGGCGGGAGCTCAGGGTCAGGGTTCGGAGGAAAACGTGCGGGGCCCGCTCCTTGTCGGCCCCTGCCGCGCCAAGTGTCCCTGGGCTGGGGAGGAAGGGCCTCTTCTTTGGTCTTTCGCTAAGTGTTGAACAATCGCGGAAGTGTGTCTGTCCTTAGAACAGTACCCAATCTCGCTGGCGAACAGTCAGCCTAGGTGATCCTCTGAATCTTCTCAAATGAGTTTCCAGGGTGGTGTGGTCGGCAGCTATTTGGAGAAAATTAGGACGTGGCGCGTGAATTGGAGGGCGTTGCTCTAGTGCGAAAGGAAAGGGAGCGAAAACAGAAAGTAAAACGTCATAAAGTTCAGATTGATCTTGAACCCATGTCCAGAGATAGTAGAGTTGGGCTTTCCTAGAGCAGCTTTGGTTTTCGTTCTTCACAGGACGAGTTTATTCAAGTCCTTGTCTCCAGTTGCCTGGCAGCAGGCTTGTTTACATGGTTTGACCCTGCAAGACCGGACGACTCCGGTTTTGCAGAGGTAAATCAGAGAGTGTGTATGGAGTTGAAGCTCAGAATCTGCTGTTCCCATCCGAGCTGTGATGTCGTGTCTGGGAAGGCCAGAGCCATACCCCAGGCTGGCAAATGGGTGACCTGAAGAAAGGCCACTCTGGTCATGCAGAGCCTATGGGTGCCCCCAAATACGCTTTGACCTCCTGAGGGCCAAAACGCTGGCTTTCTCAGACTTTGTTAAGTACTTCTCCTTCATGCTCTTAGGCCATTAAGAATGAAGAAATGTTTAGCTTGAAGCTAGCCCCTAGCTGGAGGCCAAGTTCTCTCTTGGGCGGTCTGTTTGCTCAAGTTTGCTGCCTGAAGACTGGGAATAAAGAAACTAGATATCATGCAGCATTCTTTTGGGAGACGCTTTGTGTTGGTTTCAGTGACATGCCTGTGTGGGCACTCTCCATTTCTCAGTGCACTGCCTGTTTACTCTGATGACAGACTGGAGTCCCGAAGAGGGGCAGCATGCTTTCCCAAAGGCTTCCGTGTTAGTGCCATCCACTCGTTCCAGACCTTGCATTTTTCTGACCCAAGGGAGTGGGCTCATATTTCTGTCTTCTTTTATCTTCCTTCTTCCTCTTTTTCCTTCCTCTAACTCCCAGGACACACTCTTAACCCAGACCAGGGAGGGGCATCAGAAATGCTCTGGAATATTCCAAGCCTAATCCTACTAGGGTGATCCACCCCACCTGCTAGGGTGCCCCTTAATCTGCTCTCTTTTTCTGCTTAGAGATTGTGAGGCGAGTGGGTGAAGTGTCACCAGCGTACTCTCCAGGACCCACAGCCTGTGTTCTGGGCAAGGCCTTTGAACAGGAATGGTCAGGCCTGTGACAGCCTTCACTTAGAGTGGCTGCACCACCCATGAACCCCGGGCAGGGGGATGGGGAACCAGCTGGAGCACAAGTATTTGATCCTTCCTGGTTTGTATGCAGGTCAAGCAGGACATAGTGGTAAGGGCTGGCACCAGCAGTGAATATAGAAATCACAACAGTAGCTCAGCAGTGGAAGGAAGCCCTTTTCCAGGCTGTGCAGGGGGCTGTTGAGCTGCCTGGCTCAGAGACAGGAGATGGTCCTATACCTGTGGCCTCTGTCAAAAAAGTTCACACAGGGCCTTGGAAAGCTCTGATGTCTTTGTTTTTGGTGTTTTTTCCTTTGTGTTGGAAGTTTTCTCTCAGTTCTACCAAGAGAGACTCACCACATTTGACCTAAGGGACAAGGGGCAGTCAGAGGATTGGTGCTTGACTCTCAAAGGTGAATAAGGTGGGGGAAGCGGTTCATCCCCAGAAACCCTGGCCAGTGGGGCCAGGTCCGAAGAAGAGCGTTGGGCCTTTTTATTATTATTATTTTTTTTTTAATTAACATCCAAATTAGTTAGCATATAGTGCAACAACGATTTCAGGGGTTAGGTTCCTTAATGCCCCTTACCATTTAGCCCATCCCCCCTCCCACAACCCCTCCAGTAACCCTCAGTTTGTTCACCATATTTATGAGTCTTCTGTTTTGTCCTCCTTCCTGTTTTAATGCTATTTTTGTTTCCCTTCCCTTATGTTCATCTGTTTTGTCTCTTAAACTCTTCATGAGTGAAGTCACATGATATTTGCCTTTCTCTGACTAATTTCACTTAGCATAATAACTTCCAGTTCCATCCACATAGTTGCAAATGGCAAGATGTCATTCTTTTTGATTGCCGAGTAATACTCCATTGTGTATATATATATACCACGTCTTTATCCGTTTATCCATCGATGGACATTTGGGCTCTTTCCATACTTTGGCTATTGGTGATAGTGCTGCTGTAAACATGGGGGTGCATGTGTCCCTTCGAAACAGCACACCTGTATCCCTTGGATAAATGCCTAGTAGTGCAATTGCTGGGTCGTAAGGTAGTTCTATTTTTAGTTTTTTGAGGAAACCTCCGTACTGTTTTCCAGAGTGGCTGCACAAGCTTGCATTCCCAGAGCGTTGGGCTTCTTGTGCCCAGCCTGAAGGACAGACCAACAGGTCACTGCCCCCAGACAGTCGTGTTGGCTTACTCACTCTCAGATCCTCATACAGTTAAAGACACCCTGGGCACGGCATCTCAGCAGGTCCTTAGAGGTCCCACAAGACCCTGCAGCTCCTGCTGCTGTAGGGACGGACTCGGTGAGCATGAGTGTAGCCTGTGGGTGTGCCCCAGCGTTTCTGACCAGCAGCCTGTGCTGTTCCCCTTACCACCCACACCCACTGGGACTCTCTGTGAATTGGGCCTGTCTGGCCTAGGGATCAGGCCTGGGTGAGGCTGGGAGGTGCTTGACGGCACAGTTTAAGGAGGCGCTTTTTCTTAGGGCCACGTGGAGGAGGCCCTGGTGGGGGGGGCTCCTTAAATTTTGGCCTTTGGCGCCTCTCTGGCCCCACCCTGGTACCGGTCTGCTCTGTGCAATTCTCTTTTCTTTGGGAGCAGGAATGAACCTAATAGGATTGTGTGGAGGTGGAGGCCTAGGAACTGGAGGTCGCCAAGGCCAGGCCTGTCCCAGATGGCCCTTGAAGTGCCAGCGGTCGGAGGCTCACTCTGGAGGGGCTGGGTCTCTGGGTGGAGGGTCCTAGGCACAGCGCTTCCTGTAGTTAGGTCATCAGCTCCCTGTGAGACTACTTGAACGGGTCTGCGTGCAACCCGTACACTCAGAGCTGGCCATGGAACATTTCCAGAGCTCCCATGACTGGCAGGAACGCTCCTCCTCTCCTGGCATTGAGAGCCAGGTGAGGCCTGCTGAGCTCGTTCTCAGACAGCCGGCAGGACCGGGCAGGCCCTCTGGATCTTGCCCTTGGGGATCTGTCCGTTGAGCCAAAATGCTGAAGGAGCACCCCGGGTTAGTGCTCCCCAGTGGCAGGCTGGGAGGCACATGGCAGGGCCCGGAGGCTCCCAGGGCCTCCCTGAACCCAGACGGCTGCAGGACCAGCTGCCAAGAGTGGCACAGGTGTGCTTGTCCAGACCTTGCCTGCAGCGTGAGGCTAAACTGAGCCTTTTTGTATCTGTTCTCCATCTACAGCCATGCAAGAAGGTGACAAATGGCTATTTCATAGAGAAGAAAACTGAGTCTCAAAGACATTAGGAAACTTAGCAAAGAAAGCTGGGGATTGGTTAAACTGAACCTGAAGGCCACCGTCTTCCCGGTGATGGCCAGCTGTTGCTCTCTGACTGCCTTCTCCCGGCGCTCCATACTTCAAGACGCCGGCCCCACCCTCTGCTTTCTTAGTTAGACCCTAGCTACGCTTTCTTTCTTTCTCAGTTAGACCCTAGCTACGCTTGGACTGCCCTGTGCTGTAGGCGTTCACAGGCAGAATTGTATTTTGGATTTTTACCTGAGAGTTCCCCTTGCTTCTTCTGTAGACATAAACATACACGTGGACAGACAGATGGACGAGACCGGCAGAGTCCTATAAACAACAGGCTCTACATGGTGGCCTCCTGCGTCTGTTTCCTCCTGGCCCCCGCCCCGGGGTGGGGAGGGGGGAGGGGCCCAGGGCGGGGCTTCTCAGAAGGGGGCTGGAAGTCTGGGCCGTTGACGGTCTCCTTGAGGAGAAGGTAGATGTCCAGGGCGTAGCCGTGTGCGCCTGACTCCTCAGGACCCGTGTGTGCTCAGAACTCTTTATTAAAGGACCAGGGAGGGGGCAGTGGAACCTGCAGGACCCACCCTGGGAGGTGCAAAGAGCTCCCGTCGTGTATCACCGGGGACTGAGCCAGGGTCCTCGCGCTCCATACACCCCGGGGCTTCCAGCTCTGGCTGCGGGATTCTCTCCAGCTCTGGAAGGAGGCTGTGAAACGAGGAAAGCTGCCCTCAAATGCTTCCCAGTCCTTGTAGCACAGCAGCCAGCACCACCGACTCTTCCTTTCTTGACCCTGAAAGCTGTCAGAGTGAGCAGAGTCACTAACCTGCACGTGCTCGGTGGTCTGGAGGTGTGAGTCCAGGGGCCAGTGGCCAGAGGGCCAAGGATTAGGAGGGATGTATTGGTGCCTGTGTTGCAGGAACTAATAAAGTGAACTTGAGCAGAAACCAGAAAAGGACGTGATGGTGCAGATGGTCTCACACTCAGATAAGGACACAGCCAGGGCAGAGGACGGGTCCTCAGTGGCTCTCCCTTTCTGGACCAGCCTCACGCCCCCTGACACCTCACTCTACACCCGGATTTCTCTGCTTCTGTGGCCACGTTGGCTCCAGCCATACTCTCACTGCCTCTAATGCCCATGTTCCTGGAACCCAGAGAGTAGTCGGCCAGCCACATTCAGA